ATGGCGGATGGTGGCAATTATTCATTTTAGAGAACTTGTCTAAACGTTTATTGAGCGAAATTTCGGGTTGTGTTTTCTAAAAGTGACAGCGTGACAGTTCTCATTATTGACTACTAGTTAATAATAAAAAATTATTAACCACTTTGAACAAATGCCGAGAAAGCCTACTTTACAAGTGGAAAAAAGGTTAATAATCATGTCATCAGACGCTAGTAGTGAAAAAAATAGTATACAAACCTCGCTGGTCAGTGGTTCATAACCAACGCCTCGCGCTTATACCTTAAGCCCTCGGGGTAGGTAATGAACCACCTCCCAGCTCGGTATGTAATCTACTAATTCCAAGCATCCTCGATGCACGGGAAAACGACTTTCCCGCATCGCGGTGTTTTTTAGTTTCCGCTGGAGAGAAGGGGTTATGCGCGTTCTTCGGTTGGTAGTACTTATTGAAGTCAACGAACGTCATGTCATGGTTAACTGTCATCTGCTGTAAAATCAATTAAACCGTTGGTTGAGGGTATTTAGTGCGATTAATCGGAAACAGACGTACACTAAGGTTTTACGTAAATATATAAACAAGAACTTATAACGCAATCAAATTATTTTTCAGAAGTGGAACTCAAGAAAAAGTAAAATTTATTGTTAAAACGTCTTAAAATGTGACCAGTGATATTCCGCAACTATTGGCATATGCAGCTTAAGAAAGCACATATTAACACACACAAAGCTTCCAAGGATTATAAATGTAACGAGTGTATTTACGCAACTCAAGATAAATCAAATTTGAGATCACATTTGTTCACACGTCTTCTGGGAATATTAAACACGATCAGTACACTTACGCGACCAATAAAAGCACTCTTTTCAAAGCATATTTGTTAACACTGAAGACTTCCAAGGATATGCAGTGCAAACGATGCAATTCTGTGACCAGTAGTAGCACTCATTGCAAAGGCAAAATATGTATTAACCAAAGATCTGAAAGTTTTAAATGTGACCAGTGCGATGAAAAGTGGGTAGTTACAATACTATGTTACCAACCAAACATATTATTGTGTTACCAACTCATGATTAAAAAAAACTAATTTACAAGACTATTAATTTTGACCTTTTTTACGCAATTCGTTACAAAAAATATTGTACCTAACTCTTTCGGAAAGAATTTTCCCGCATTCGCACTAAATGCAGCACTCCCTACGGTCGTGCTGCAAACAAAGTGCTCATGCGGAAAAATTAACTTACCGAACTTGTTAGGTAAATAACTATTACAGGCGCTTACCATGTTTAGGTTAAACTAATAAGTAATAAGTGGAGAGCTAAAACACGTATGTATTTGGTTTTCCAATGCGCAACACCTTATAATTTCCGCCTCATTGTCATCGATGTCCTTCGTAGGCAAATTGTCCAAAATAGACAAGAAAATTGCGAAGTAGTTGAAACTTGGTATAGACGTTTGAAAATACGTATATTTCAAGGAACCGAAGAGTCCCTAACCACAAGTAGTGTGCTGGAGTGGTTATGCTCAAAGGACGTAGGGTGAACTGGATTTTCACTTTTTTAACAGGAAGCGGCAGTTAAATTCTGTTAAAAAAATACTTTGTGACATTTTAGCGGATTTTTTAAGAATTAAAAAAAATGTGCTATTGTTTGCGTTTTGCCCGTCCGTCAGTGCGTCTGTCCGGACCAACTTTTACCGTTTTGAACTACGTGTAGGGAAATGGTACTAAAGTCCTGGAATTTTTGCAATGGTAGCCTATATCTTGAAGGTGTGTCAGGCGACCATCAAATTTCGCTGTTTTAAGCCCCCCCCCCCCCCATGAATTATTTCCTGAGTGCTATTTTTGATAGTAAAACGTGCATAACTTTTATATACGAAAACCAATTGGTTTGAGATTTTGTATACGCATGCCTTTAGTGGTGCCAAGTAAAACTTTTATAAATGAAGGGGGAGGGGAGGGAGGTAAACACTCGTTCTACCTTTAATGGTATTCTAATGAAAGTCTCATCGAAATAAATTGGTGTGTACAAAGTATTACTTTCCCGCGCGACTCTATTTCGAGATCAGTGGGTGACGGGGTCGTAAAGATGTTTGCAAATTTGCTCCATGTATACAACCGTACACAAAATAAGTTGTAGTACACTTGTACGGATTGTGGTCCTCGCGTAAAGAGTGTTCTAATAGGCTACAATGAGCCTTTGATTTTCTTCCATCACCACTTCGGTATTTTGTTACTACCAAGCCATATCTGAATTTGGTAGAATATTCGTAAGTAATGCTGAGCAGCGGCCACTTAAGTTAGTGGTAATAATTCGGCCCTGATTTTTGCTTTTGCAGCGATTTTTTAAATTGGTGAAACCTATATGAATTAACGGAAAATTTCAAATTTTCTTCGCACCGTATACCATATCAGAAAAAGTCAGGGAAAAGGGGTTCACCAGCTTCTCTTACTTCTGATAGGGTTGAAATTTTGGTCATTGAAGGTTCTCATTATAGCCTATTGCATTTTGTTTTGCAAGAGTTTGAAAAATTGTAATTCTTGCTTCTGAAACATACACTATGTGGTATCACTACTGCAAAAATTTTCTTTTTAGTTCTACCTTTGTCTGACTTTATCTTTATATTTTTTGGTGTTAAAGGCAAGAGAACAAGGAGATCAACATCCTCGCCGACTACACGCATGTTCGTCCATTGTTAAACATTTCAATTGCGTCATACTTTCATTAAAAACAAACCGATACAACGAAATATCGAAGGATCCTCAGGATTACCACCACTTTTTTAACGACCATTTATTTTTATCTTGGAAGATACATATAGTCAACAAAAATGCATCAATTCATGTCTTGGGCATTGAGATAATGCTGTTAGTGTTTTTCCAAACGATCTTGGTGAATAAATAACGATTTTGAAATCTTTGAGATAAATAGATATGGCCGCCAAAAAAGGCATTAAATTCATGTCTTGGTCATTGAGATAATGTTCTTGGTCTTTTTCACAACGATCTCGGTGCAAGAATAACAACTTTGATATGTTTTGAGCATAACACGTCATAAACAGCAGAATTTTGTCTTCCTTATTTCGCTGGTGCCTTTAAACACTGAATACGGTGCAAGTTCATACTTGAAGAATTCCGCGAGATCATCATCCTATTGGTTCTATGTACCTATACGGTAAAAATCCGATCCGGGAAAACTTTACTGTGTGAACGAGCCGTTACGACAGGTGGGCGAGCGGCGCGAGGGTTTTTAAACCTTCATTTTGGGCTGAGCACACTATGTAACGCTAGGGACTCGTCGAATTCTTAAACAGGATATATTTATGTATAAGTATACAAAGTTACAAAGACTTCGCAATTTTCTTAGATATTTGATGAATTTGGATACAATTTGACTGTACTATCGGGATGTAAACTGGAGTTTGCTATACTTAGTGGTGGGATAGTAAATAGCATGTATGTACTTAAAGTATATTGTATATCTGGATGGCATGGGAATGAAACTTTCAAATATGGATTGAGAGATTTTTTCTTACATTATTTGATTACCATAGCTTGCTCTTGTTGGAAATCTTTACCTCAAAGGATACAGGAAGGTAAATAAAACAAAAGATTTATTTATTAACAAATCGGTCCGAGTTCTCCTAAATACACCTCTGGAAGAAAATACAAGTTAGTCAATGAGAATAAGGCCCAACGAGAAGTATACAGAGGGCTTTTAGGGTATTAAATTTAGAAATTTCGAAAAATCCTCGAACACGTCAATTTTGTATTCGAGGGGGACAACTTTTGGAACACAAATCTCGAACCCAAGTCTTCACCCCTCTACGTAGGGAGCTTAACCCCTTAAATGGAAATCTATGACAAATGGCACATTATTTGAAAGCCAATTTAATCGTGATTACTAATGCTTTGCTTTTTAAATTCTATTGAGTCGTATCGGAGATAATTCGCATTTGAAATGGTTTTTTTCTAAAAAAACGAAAACAAATGCGATCTAAGTCACCTTGTATTAAAATTTTATTTTTACGCTTCAATTTGTTTGTTAAACTTAAGTGAACCTGTCAGTTCTCCGAAACGAATTAATAGAATTTAAAAAGCAAAGCAGATTAGTAATCACGATTAAATTGGCTTTCAAATAATGTGCCATTTGCCATAGGATTCCATTTAAAATTTTAGGGGTTAAGCTCCCTACGTAGAGAAGTGAAGACTTGGGTTCGTGATTTGTATTCCAAAAGTTGTCCCTCTCGACTACAAAATTGACGTATTCGAGGATTTTTCGAAATTTCTAAATTTAATACCCTAGAAAGCCCTCTGTATACTTCTCGTTGGGCCACTCTGTACATTCAACTATTCAGTCTATTGAATGGAAAAGGACAACAAGTTCTAACGTTGATAAGCTTTTTCTATTGAACTATATACGCTGTACAGAGTTAGAGTACATAGTTCAATGGCTTTTTCCGAGTGTCTTTAAGGTCCTTATTTAACTGTAAGGACAAAAGTTTCCTCCACGAACACGATTCGCAGAAATGTAGATCACTTAATAAGCGACCCACGCGGCTTTTTCTTACTCAATTTGGGCTTGGGCTCAGTGTTCGAAACTCAAAACTCCATTGATTTGAGTATTGAAATTCAAAGTTTGAATTCGCACTTCTTCAATTTGAGTTTTAGGTAGGTATGTGTTCGAATTTTGAATTCGAACTTAAATTTTTTGCAAAAACGCCAACAGGAACATATATTTTTAATTTAAAAAATTGAAATTTTGAATTACTGTGGTAAGTATAAACTCACACAAATTAAGGTTTTACCAAAACTGTCAAATTTTCTTCCACCTGATTTTCATTTATCCTTAGTATTGCGACTAATAGTTATACTTATTGTTCTATTCTTTTAAAGCCGTAGTACACCATCATAAATTACATGAATTATTCATGAATTTTGATGAAAAATGCTAATTACATCGTGTATTGTCACCGTGAATTTTTAGATTCAATTTTACATCATAAATTGAAGAAATAGGTTTTGTTCTATTTCTGAAGGTCATTGTCATGAATTTTTAGTTCGCTGTAGTACAGTTTATTTACTTGTGGTTGGCAAAACGCAAGTATTGGTACAAGTGTAAAAACAAACTTGTAACCTCAATTCTTTCCCGTACTTTATTTATTTATTTAAAAATGTGGAACCAAGACCACACAAAAACACTCATACAATTGTATGAACAACATGAATGTTTATATTTAATTAGCAGTGTGCACTATAAAAACAAAACAAAGCGCAGAATGGCCCTGGAAGAAATTACTACAAATTTCAATAATTTGTGTAATACAGACGTGACATGGGATGTAATACAAAAAAAAATAAATGGGCTACGAACAACTTACACCAGTGAACTTAATAAGTTAAAAAAAAGCGAACATTCAGGTGCAGGATTAGACGATGTGTATGTATCGACATGGTGGTGTTTCGAATTATTGAATTTCTTACACCATCGGCAAGCACCTCACAATGCCACGAAAAATGTTTCATCAATCAATGTAAGTTTTATTTTATGTTACTTGTTGTACGAAGAAAAAAATTTGTAGCATGCGGCACAAGGGCAAGCTGTAGAAGTTTACCAAGGAGATGTCGACTCTGAAAAGGACGAATTAATTTACGAGGGCACAATAGATGACATGGGGAATTTTAATGTTGGTACACCGCATGACGATTTAAATAGTCAATCTCCAATTACTGTAACACCCATTTCTCAAAAGGTAATTTCTTTATGGAGATAGTATAATGATTTTTAATTGTAATTTTATAGTCAACAAAAAAACGCAAAAGAGAATCTGCAACAGGAGATATACAATATGAATTATTAAAAGCTTCCACGTCGGCATTAACTAATATTAGTGGGGCTGTAAGTAAATCCGAGAATGATCCAACCAAAAACTTTTGTAAAAATATTGAATCAGAAATACGGATGATAACGGATCGTAACATCCTAAGAGAAGTAAAGAGACAGATAATGATGCTCATTTACGATGCGCAAGAAAAGGAAAATTGAAGAAAACATTTTTATATTTATATTTTATAAAATAAAACACTAGAAAACATTTTTTATATGCTAAACTCATTCTTTACACTGAAATGAACAAAACTTATTTGAAAACTATATTTAAATCATATTATTTTGCCATTCTACTGCTCCAATTCCATTAAAGTAACGGTTAAATTCTTCACGAATTTGCATTGCAGTATTGCTTGGACGATTACCAATTTGCTGACCAATTCCTCCTAGTTGATCGTTACTGGTTGTGGGGGTATGCTCAACCGATTGTACATACAGATTACTTTCAGCAATTAAAAAATTATGAAGAGCACAACACGCTAACGTAATATCTCGAGTTTTATCAGCTCCCAAATTAATTTTTCCCAACAAAATGCGGAATCTATTGGCCAAAATACCGAAAGCATTTTCGACAACTCTACGTCCACGGCTTAACCTATAATTAAATATCGCCTGTTCTTCAGTGAGGCCTCGAAATGGGTATGGTTTCAATATATTTTTTTTTAAAGGGAATGCAGCATCCGCTAGAATTACATACGGTACTGCACGTTGCATACCAGGCAGCGGTTTATCAAGTGGTATGTTGAGAGAATTATTTTCCAATGCTCTATACAGATCACTTTGACTAAACACACCTCCATCAGACACTCTACCATTCACACCAACGTCTATATATGTAAATCGATATTTAGCATCTGTAAGAGCCAGTAGTACAATACTATGGAATCCCTTATAATTATAATAAGTGGATCCTGATGCTAATGGTGCACAAAACGCAATATGCTTGCCATCTAAGGCTCCAAGCACATTTGGAATTTGCCATTCGTTATAAAAACCTGTAGCTATTTCTTCCCACTGAGAACAAGTTTCGGGCAACTGTAAAAAGTTATATTACTATTGGTTTCATATATAGGTACATAAGTTAACAAATGTACTTTGATGTAGTCCTTAACTAGCACAGAATAAATTGCTCGACACACAACAGGGACAAACTGTGCAATGGTTGATTCATGCACTCTTGTAGAGAACATAAGATTTCTAAATGTTTCTCCAGTCGCCAAATAACGCAATGCAATAATTAGTTTATGCTTTGCTGGTATTGCCTGACGCATAACAGTGTCCTGTTTGCTAATGAGATTTTCCACTTTTCCCAACAGTTTCAATAGGGACGTGTTGGACATCCTTAAATAATTTTTGAATGCCAATGGGTCTTCTGTTAATAATTCATTAGTCACAAGGTTCATGATTCCTTTGCTATCTCTTCTTCCAACCCAAGAACGCACCCATATTCTTCGATTCCGTTTTTTCTTTTCTTTTGATTGCAATTTTAACACAGTCGTTGACGCTGCACTTATTGCTATCACGGCGGCACTTAATAATAAATTCTTATCCAAGTCCATTATATTTCAAAATTTACCTAACCTAACTTTGAGTTTAATTGAACATGAAGGTAGGTGCCAATAATCCGAAGTTATCAATTTTCCCAGAAATTCAAAATATTGCAAACGAAAAATGTTAACGTGTATTGTCACATATTTTTACATCAATGTTTACATGCATTTTTCGTGTATTTTACATGTAAAAATTGAATCGTGTATTGCGGGTTTTTACACTATGTTATTGTGTAAATGTTTGCGTAATGTTGGAGTAGTTCCAGCCCCCCTCCGCCATTATCACATGAATAATTTTTCGAAAGTCTTCGTAAACAAGAAAACTCTTTAGTATTATGATCTAGATTATGATTATGTTTGGAAGTTAATTTATAAATACCCCTCATATGAACGAAATACGGTATTAAAAAACGGTAACGTTTTCCTGCATTAAAATATCCTTCGGGCTCAATCTAATGTTACATCTAATCCAGTACTATCGCTATCTTGCTCTTTTGAGTCCTACAGCGACGTCTAAGGAAGAACCCACAATGATCATTATCTGTCTCCGTTTTCGGAGGAATTTTTACAATCGATGTATCCACTTAAAGTTGCGGGAACGGAATTTGATGGATGCCGTAAAAAATAGAAATCAACTTTCGTCGAGATAAAATCTGTTGCGTTTCCGTCTAACCGTTTATTTTCATCTGTTCCATTAAAATATAATAGCAGAAGTGTTCATTTTGAAAATAAACGTGTTTCGTCAAATTTATAGACACTAAAAATTCTCAGCAGAAGGTGTTTTGTCGAAAGCTCGGTTGAAGGAAGAATTTTATCGACAAGATTATGAGGACCGTACTACTTCATTTCCATTATTAATTAAAAATGAAGTAGGTAAGATGTTCAATCTCACAAGCAAACCGTTTTATTTAATTAGTTTGAAGTAAACTAATAATATTACAGCTTAATATTGTAAAGTGAAACCAAACATTCGCATACGAAGATTTGGAGACGCACTTGGGTTAATTAATGACGCGTACTCAAAATGCTTTCCTGGATGGTATTTATTCAGATATCCTAATAAACCGAACTCCCAAATGAGTAACGTAAGCAAATAAACTGTCACTCTCAATCCCTTCCATTTAAACGTCGGGCACTTATCGCAGCAATGAAACCGGAAGGAATTATAGCAAGTTTAAGCTCCGTAAATTTACTTGACGAGGATTTTCTCTCTTGATAGTAATTAACAAAGGAAGGTGCGATGAACTCTCTTGATGTAGGTATCTTGTAGGTACCCTTAAATTTTTTCGATTAAGGTCATGTGAGGTGTCTACTGGCGCTATTGTGTTGAATGCATTTTCGCATATTATGGGGCGATTATGTCAAGAGGGAGCTCATGGTATGCACTTATACTGTTTACCTATGAAGTGGTACTGGTACAAGGGTTACTTATACACTGTAAAACTTTAACTTCCTGTACAGAAATGCATAAAAAATCAATATTGGAAGGTATAGTAGTATGACGGGTAGAATAGAATAGAATATGTGAAAACGAAAGTTATCCACGTTAAAATTATCCCGAACACCGGACCGGAAATCGTCGTGTGCTACCCCGCGGGCGGCTCGGGTTCGATTCCCAGTCGATTCAGAATTTTTCGCGCATTTTTGAAAAAATATCTGGCTCTCGGCAGAGGCTTCATTCTTCTCCAAAATGATCCCTTCAAAAAAGGCACGGCTGGAATCCGCAAAACAACTGGCGCAGATTCGACGTCTGAGGTTCCTCGTGGAATCTCTTACTTTTACACTTGTGCTCACTTTATTTATATCCCTTCTGTTAGTATCCAGTATCCACTGTAATTCAGTTCTTCATATGTCTATATGACGAAGCGTTTAGAAGTTCTGCGCACCTCTTTTACCAGATTTTATCAATTCCTCCTTGCGGTTATTTAATGACAGTGATTCATACTCAATTACATCATTTCGAATATACATACGTAAAGCGTTATGTATGATTTTATTCTATTTACGGGTAAAATGAAATTGCATTTCTATCGGCGTGTGGCCCAACTGTGGTGCTTCGGGCATGGATATTTGTAAATGCATAGTGGGTTGGGTTGGTAGAGCAGCCTTGGCTGAAGCCCCGCCCACTCAAACATAGAGGCAAAATAATACAAAGATACTTCCTTGCAATGCAAAATCGCATATATGCTTTTGTTACGATTACATGCATGCCTAAATATAGGTTACGCATTATTATCAATTTAAACACTCCCCTATAGGTAAATCCCGTTACATAATTTCCCCATAAAGATCACTTTAACTTTAAATTAAAACGAACACATGAGTAATTTTATGTTTGTTGCACTATACTATATTCTATTTTAGGTGCAATTATGATTGTAAGAAGAGTCACCCTTATAAATTCTCTCCCAAGGAAACAAGCTCAGAGCTAAATTCACCCCTTGAAGATCTTCGTCCGGGAGATTCGTAGCTGAACATTCATCACCGGAACCTTCGCCAGGATTTCCCCATAAGCATATATAATATGCAAAAATGTTATAGGTAGTAGAAGTGATTACGACCAGCGCCGGATTAACTTTACTTGAAACGCTAAACATGTTCGTGCCCCTTGATAAATAAGAGAAGCAGAAATAAAAGCGAACGGCGGGACCCGGCCCTGGCAGCGATCGGACCCTGAGACGTGCGCCTGGTGCGCCTCGTGTAATCCGCCGCCGATTGCGATATGCTCTTAACCAGCTTCATTATCAAGTAACTACAAAGAGAAATGAAAAGCTAATGAGGAAATGACAATTATTTGAAAAACTAGAGACCTTAATGACTCTCTAATTACCTAAGAGCATAGTAAGTTGTTGCTTTCTAATGTAACACCATACATGTTTAAAGTAGTAAGAAATTTTAAAAAAAGCTTTCTAATGATGTATAACAGAACTTATAAATTAAAGATGGCGGTCGTACTCAAAAACCATATGTAAAAAAACCGCAGTTGAACTTTAACTCAACTGCACCACACGAGACTACCACGATGCGCGTTATTAGGCCACTGTTTTCCCTCTATACGATAGTACTGGTAGTTTTAAATTTCAAGTTTTACTTTTCGTCTCTGGTTCACCATCATCAACTTTGTTTTTTCTTATGGAAGCCAGTTATACTTTTTATATCATTTGATAGAGCATTTTGTTAAGCATCAAATACGCAACTTTGCCTACCTACCTATCCCTTACAGTTCCAGAGATCCATGGTGGCCCTCTAATTGGAAACAAGCTGTATAGGAAGATTTTGTTTGAAAATTGATCTACAAGAATTTTGTGTGCAATGCAAGTTCGATTATGAGCGACATTGAGGTTTAATGTGAAATGTTCGATTCTTAAATGCACATCAAGGGGGTTATGTATCTTCTGCAGAGTAAATCAAATGTGGAGGGTGTCACAAGTACATTGCGGGAAAGACAGGCTGGTGTCTAATTTTAACTTCCACTGAAAACGCATACCCGGTAGTTTTACCTTACACTATTCACCCATGCCTGACAGTAGCGGTTGTTTAAGAGTGCTTGATAATGATGTTATCCTCTCCAGCTACATATGATATTTCGTTTAACTGCTGTCATGG